TTCAGCCTTCTAGCTTTTCTGGGTCTCGAGTTGAAAGTGGGTGGCAGAAAGTGCGAACACACAGACGCACATACACATACACACACACAGACAGCCTCTTCCCAATATGTGTTTTTGCAATTTATGCAAAAACGCATAAAAAGGAGGATGGTACACGGGGTAGGAACATATATTCAATGTTTCAGCCTCTCAGCTTTCCTGGTTGCTGAGATGAAAGTGGGTGGTAAAATGTACTTGCTTTCCGAACACACATTCACAAACAGCCTCTCGGCAATATGCGTTTTTGCTGGCTATAGCAACGCTCCAGCGCTGCACTGCAAAAACGCATAAAAATCAATGATTGGCCAGCGCACTGACTGTCGGTGCGAAGATGCGTTTTTTGAGCAGTTTCCCGCAGGTTTTTTTTCGCTCACGGCACTGCCTTTTCCGACAGATGCTTCTAGCTAAAAGAATTGGGAGTGGCTGCCACAGCGTTGAAGCATCTCCTCAAAATTTCGGATTTCTAGCTTTTCTGGTTTCCGAGTTAGGGAATTACCGCCAAAAATTTTCGCGGGCTCGTACGTAGGAATAACACAGACAGGAGCGTCCGTTTTGAGAATCTAGGCCCTTACGTGCATGTAGATTAAGTTACCACAGTTTCAGCCTTGTAGTTTTTGTAGGCCTCTAGATATTGACGAGCGGTTTGGGCCATTAAAAGCTACTCGAAACGTTAAAAAAAAGACTTTACCAATGCACTACATGAAAATTTCATCTTTTCTGCTGAAAGAAATTTCAAAAATTATTACTTTGCTTATCTGTTTTGACTTACAACCAACAAATCTTTCGTTTGGAACCGCCGCACAGCTGTTGTTCCTAGCTGTGTAACGTTTCAGGCGTAATAAGCGTTCGCAGAATGCTCGATCGTGAAAAATGTGCACTGTACAACCTAAGCGTTGTCGCACTGGATGTTATTCATCCTGGAATTCAAGCTCAGAGTTATGTGGTCATCGATGTGGATGATGTCAGCGACAGTGCTCCTCAATTCATGCAACCTGTTTATCATGTTTCAGTCAGCGAATCTACGCCTGTCGGCACTCAGCTGCTTAAAGTTAGTTAAAAGATTTACAGGTTCTGTTTTGAATAGGCAAAATTTCGTATTTACTCAATTTCAGCACAATCACTGGACATTTTTCAGGTTGAAGCAGTGGATCCTGACATAACTGATACTTCGCTTATTTATGGAATCACGGGGCCACATTCGACAGGTAATTTTATGTATCTATAAATCTGTGAATATTACATACACCTCAAAGTCGATATCGTACGATCTTTTTATTCCTTTTTTTTTTTTTTTTAAATTGCGAATTTTAGTGCTATCAGTGGACCCGCAGACGGGAATCATTTCGTTAATGAAGTCGTTGGATTTCGAAACTGAACGAATTTTTAAATTTCGCCTTATTGTTTCCGATCCAATTCAGCTAACATCGGAAGCGGTTAGTGCAGTATCCTAAGTTAACATTCTCATTTTCAGAAAAGCTTTCCCATCCGCTGCTTGGTGCTCTTCCACTGCGCTGCAATTTTGTTCACTGCCTGTTATAGTTAAATCCGAGGAACTAATCGAAGTTCGAACTAATTTAGGATTTACTGCTATATGTCAATGATACAAACGATGTAGCCCCGAAATTTATAACCGCATTGGTTCAGAGCGTTGTGGAGGAAGGCGACGTTGCTGGACACTTTGTTGCAAAGCTGGATGCTCATGATGAGGTATACTGTTTTCCTCAATTTCCCATAACTTTATAATAAGGGCGATAAATCAGTGCGGTTTGCAGGAGTATTGTGGGAATAAAAACCGTTTTGTGAGAAATGAAAGACTGAAAAAAATGGATCTGGATTTACTGGAACGAATGAGCATGAGCTTAGAGAGTTAATGTATAGGTATGAGGGAAAACCGCTGTCAGGCTGTGATAAGCTGAAAAAAATTGTGAAAATGGAACGATCTTTTTTCTACATGTACATGAGGACTTGAACCGGCTAGTTTAGCAGCACTTTCATTATCGCGTCAAGCATTTCTGATCTCTGAATGCACTTTATTTTTGTAATCAGGAATAAAAAGTCTA